CTCCGCCCTTCTCCCTTCCCGCTCCTCCGTCGCTATTGAACTCCTCCTCCATCCTCCATTCCCTCCCTCGTCATCGATCTCCTCCTCCCTCCGTCGTTGTCCTCCCCCTCCCTCATGCATCATCGGCGTCGTCCTCCCTCCGGCCTTTTCCCTTCCCCCTCCTCCCTGGTTATCGATCTCCTCCTCCCTCCTCCATTCCCTCTCTTGTCATCGACCTCCTCCTCCCTCCATCGTTGTCGTCCCCCTCCCTCCTTCACCATGTCGTCCTTTTTTCTTTTTTTTTCATACATGAAATTTTTAATAGTGCACCACTGCTCCCCCTCCCTCCTTCATCATCGACGCCGCCCTCCCTTCACACTTCTCCCTTCCCCCTCCTCCCTCGCTATCGATCTCCTCCTCCCTCGTCATCGATCTCCTCCTCCCTTCGTCGTTGTCCTCCCCTTCCCTCCATCATCGGTGTCGTCCTCCCTCCGCCCTTCTCCCTTCCCCCTCCTCCGTCGCTATTGATCTCCTCCTCGCTCCTCCATTCCCTCCCTCGTCATCCATCTCCTCCTCCCACCGTCGTTGTCCTCCCCTTCCCTCCATGCCCAAGCGCACCATGCGCGCAAATGCGCGCGGCACGCGCACGCCCCGACGCACTGCGCATCCAAGTGTCGCGCAGCGCATCCCACATTGCGCACTGCGCATTGATGCGCACGCATCGCGCATGAATGCGCGCATCCCCGACGGGCGCACAGCGCGCTGCGCACCGCACCGCATCGCGCAGCGCATAGATGACATCTATGCTTGGGACTTTTAGAAATTATAGTCAAAATTCAAGGATATGAAATTATAGAACACAACCCTACGAATTGTGTTGGCGATTCAGAATGGATAATATATGTTTGTGTGTATGTGTGTACATGGAGATGACAATACTTTGCTTGGGACTTTAAGAAATTATAGTTGAAATTCCAAGATATACATATGTGTGTAGATGTAGGTGAGAATTTGGCTGATCAGAAAATAGAGGATAAGATTGTGAGTTTATTTTTCCAAATTTGAGAAGCTGAATTTATAATTGTGTAAGCACTAGATTAGAGCAAAAACATTAAAAATTAGAAGATAACAAAATTAAAACCAGCAAAATCAACTTGAAAAGGCAGCCGACGCGAAGAGCGCCACACATGTTCGCACGAACTCTCCTGCTCTGTCGCTGCGGTGATTATTGCGCCGCTACCTGCTTCTGTGCCTTTAACCGGTGAACCAGCTCAAACGAACGCTTAAAAATGCCAGCTCTTTTTTACGCTCCAGCTTGGAACAAGCCTCCCTCCTCCCACTCCGCATGAGAAAATGCTCCTCACTTTTTGCCCGCGCTGCCCAACCATCCTCCACTAGATTGGCGTAGGAACATAGGAGCAGGACCACTACCATGCCCAAGATCTCATGAAGACTATCCTAATCACCCCGACAGCCTCCCCTTCCTATAGCGTGTCAACCCGCGACACCACATAAACGAAGCACGGAGCAAGAGACCTCTTCAACCTAGGTTATCAAGGCTGGAAGAACCCTCAGTCGAAGCATCACGTCAATGGCCGCGCTAGACAAAACCGACGGAACCTCGCGTCATCGCCTGCCGCCGTAATCCCCATAGCCCACATCAACTGCTCGACATTCCTCGCAGGGAGCCGTGCCGACAAGGCGCCACCAACTCACGAACCGGCCCAATGGCATGTCCCCTTCCTCTAGCGTGTCAACCCGCAACACCACATAAATGAAGCACGGAGCAAGAGACCTCTTCAGCCTAGGTTATCAAGGCTGGAAGAACCCTCAGCCGAAGCATCACGTCAATGGTCGTGCCAGACAAAACCAAGGGAACCTCGCGTCATCGCCTGCCGCCGTAATCCCCATTGCCCACATCAACTCCTCGATATTCCTCGCAGGGAGCCGTGCCGACAAGGCGCCACCAACTCATGAACCGGCCCATGTCGATAGCGGAGTGGCGTGGCGCTCCCAGTCGCGCCACGCCGCCCCAACAAGTGTCAGATCCAGATTTTGCTTCATCTTGAAGAATCCACTATCCACAGGATGGTTAGCGTTTCCTTGGGTAATGCAGCCGCTCTCGCTTGGTATAGCTGCAGTATCATAGATTTCTCTCCATCGCTCAACCAGTCTTCTCACAAAAGGCTCGTCTGCATGGTGTGCAAGAGGGTCAAAATCCCACGGCTTCAGTCCGGTGCCACGGAAGTGAACAATCTTCATCTCCTCCTCTTCCACGTTTTCAGTATGTCTCCAAATGAGGGCAAATACCAAGTTGCAGCAGTTGGGAATAGGCTTGAAAGTCTTTCTGAAATACATGTTCAGGAAGTCCTGCTCAGCAAATGGAGTCAGCACTGTTGTGCTCAGAACAGAGACCATGTCCACAAAGATTACCCTGCTCGGCTCAAAGACAAACATTCCTGCATTGAAGTATGGAGGGGAAGTCGTCTTCCCTCCAAAAAGAAGGCACCTTGTGTGAACTCTGTTGGCAGTAGCCGTCCCGGTATTGCTTGGTGTGCTGCCACGAAGACTCGCAGAAGCAGTCCAAAGCCGCAGAGAGTGTTCCTGATGGCTCATTGAACAGCTCATCCACATTCTTGACCACCATCATGTCTGCATCCAGATACACCATCTTCGAGAAGTCCTCAAACGCCCATATGTGAAGCTTGGAATAATTGAGAACATAGTATGGGAGAACTTGACAAGGCTTACATCTGGAGGACAGAGAGGTTGAATCTCTCTGCCGCTGCATCCTCGCTGCTCAAGAATCTTCCGATGACTCACGGGAACGTCGGGCAACACTGCCACCACCAGCGGATAAGTTGACTTGACCAATCAAAGGCTCGTCGCCAAAGCCACGACGCCCTTCACGTAGTTTCCGTCTCCTGCCAAGAAAGTACGCATTGCGCGTCGTCTTAAAAACTGAGGAGGAGGAGGAGGAGGAGGAGGAGGAGGAGGAGGAGGAGTGGGACAAAGCCCCATTTTCACTGCAGCTCTTGCTGCCATTGGGCGCCGTCTTCAAAATTGAGGAGGAGGAGGAGGGGGAGGAGGACGAAGAGTGGGAGAAAGACCCATTTTCACTGCAACTCTTGCTATCATTCCCTCCGCCAGACGCAGCGGTGTTAGGAGACGCACCGTTCTCTCCTAAGAACCTACCCATGCTGCTCTTCCTTCTAACAGTCTAGCCAACCCTGTGCAAATCGTTGCCTTCACAAGGTCACAGAGGGACAGACAGACAGACAGACAGAGGCAGAGAGGGGCTGGCTGACTGCAGCCTAGGCAACAACGCTTACATTTGCACTAGCTGTGTTCAGAAGGTCAGACAGACAGACACAGTGAGTGAGTGAGAGAGAAGCGAAAGTGTCTCACTGACTTCAGCCTACTAGCCTAGCCAACATCTCTTATGCCCTCCGTCTCCCTCCAATGCACATCGCTTGATGCGGAGCGCATCCGGAGAAAGAACGAAGGCACAACTTGCTAAGTACTGCTTCGGCACGAAAAAAATCACTCCTGCAACCAACGGTCCAAGCTCAGTTGTGATACTCACGGACTGTTAAAATACAGACCCAAGTTCGAATCCAGACACAATCAGATGACCAGAATTACCTGGCGCTGGTGAGTTCAACGAATCAGTGATGATTAAAAAAAAAAAAAAAAAAAAAAAAAAAAAAAAAAAAAACAAACAAACACTCATGTGAAGTCGGCAGCAAAAACCATCTCGAAGAGATAGCATATGCTAGGGGCCCGCGTGTTGGGGTCTTGGGGATGTTTGGAGGGTCAAGGAAGTTGTGGTTGGTTGAATATCGTTTGGGCCTGTTTTGGCCGATTGATTCCTGAGAAGGCTACTGGACGGAATTTGTTTGAAGGGTCTGGTCTTTCTGTAGATGTCCGGTAGTATTTAGGAACCTTTAGACCACCAAAGTCTTTGAGCAAACAAAGACTCCTGATGAGGCCTGGTGGCGACCGGCCGAAACAGACCGTAGAGTCATGCTGAACACTGCGGCGGCAGTGTCGAGGGTGCGGTATCATTGGACTATCTTATGTTTCCCTCGTTTGCGCTCTGGAGAATCACGAAGTTTTTTTACTCGAGCGTGGTCTATAGTTTCTTCTTTCCCCCTTTTCTTCCTTCTTCTTCCTCTCTTCTTCGTCTTCTTTGAAATTTAATGGCATCTATGTGAATGCATTTTTACTCGCGCAGTAACGGCTGTAGTAATTGCACTATAGTAGCATGGCTGTGAGCTGGTCCTGGATAATGCTGAAACGAATGCCTTTTCGTTATTCCTATTTTCTGTTTAAGTTGCCTTCGGTCTGAGTGTGCAAGGTCCTTGTTGTGCGTATTGCCTGTCGAGTTAGGCAAATTGTGGACTTCAAGTGGTGTGGATCTCATCATGTCTAATCCTAACTTTATCCCTGTCTGGAGATGTTTTACGTGTAATGAACCTGGGCATTTTTCTCGTGAATGTCTAAGGAATTATGGGACTAACGGTTATCGGGGGGGCGGAGTTATTCGCACGTGACGCAGAACGCCAACGCGGCTTCATCCTCGTCTTCACCCGGACAAAGTAATGCGATTCTGCCTGTGCAAGGATCATGGTTGTTGGCGCTACCTGCTCCTCCACAACAGAACATAGTGGCATCGGCTAGTAATGCGAATGGGGCAGCCGCCAGCGGCTCCACGCCAAGGGTGGTGGAGAAGCAACCAAGCAAGATTCAACGAGATGTACGATTGGTGGAGTGCAGAAAAGGAGGCCAAAGAGGCGACTTGAAGGGAGAGGGAACGAAATAAAGCAGAGGAAGAGGAGAAAGTTAGGAAAGAGTGCGAGCATGAAGAACGAAACAAAGAGAAAAAGGAGTTTCATCAAGAAATGAGTGAGTTGATAAACCAGCAGTTGAAGGAGATTTGTTCGACTATTGTGGGCAAGAATGGGAAATTCAATGAGAATATTAAGGAGGATGAGATCATTCGACTGAGGCGTGAAAATGAAGAATTTAGGAAGATGATGGAATCCAGGTAACCGTTGGAGAAGCTTTCGTTGGAAAATCAGGAATTGAAGAATAAAACTAGTAATGAAGCTGCATTGAAAAAAAAGCACAATTTGAGCAGTAGAGACCGGGATCCAAGCGGAGAGCATACTGTTTTTTTAATTTTTCTTATCCATAAAGACATAATAAAAATGTCCTCCGTGACATCTGTTAAAAAACTGGAACATTGAACAAACTCAGTCTGTCGGAACAGAGAATTGCTCGCCTGCTTTGGATGCAGACTCTGGATGTAGTATCCTCCGCAGAATGGTTGATATCTAGATTCAAGATAGAAGGAAGTTTCACGGGTCTGGCCAAGATGCCGCTGGGCATGGGAAGCGACATCCGATGTCGATCATCACCTCTTACGTACAAGGCCGGCCACGTGGATGACAGGTTGAGCGTCGGCTGGCTGCCCCCATCCCCGTGTGTCACAAGGACCCACTTGCACGCAGCCAGAAGGCAAAGAGGAAAGGAAAAGGAGGAGGAAACCAAACCTCACAAAGGCAAGAGAAAGAGAAAGGGATTCAGGGGCTCATTCGACACTCCTTGGGGCGTCCTCGGGGCCGAAGGAAGTTTCCTTGGGGGGTTTCAAGGAAATTCCCACCATCGTTCCACCTGTCCTCGGGGACATCGCCCGAGGACATTTCCTCCGAACGATGTCAAAATTGCTCTGGAAATTGAACCTGGGGGGCGCAGCGCTCCCGGCAACGCTTCCCCCCGGACATCGCAGCTGCGCAGGGCTTTTTCGACAATGCGGTCGCGCCATCGCCGTGTGTGAGGAATACACCGAAGTGCATTGCGTTTCACGCCATCGCGCGAATTAGAGAGCTGTACTTTTGGTGGAAAATTGCGCGTGTCGCTCCTGCCCTACTTATGTCGGAGTTCGAGACGATAAGGGAGGGGAAGAAGTGAATGCTTTCTCCTATCTGTGTGGGGGTCACTGGACATAGCCATGGCAGGCTCATGGTAAGGAAGGTGGGCGTACTCGTGAGTGCGTTTTGGAGGCAGGGAGTGTAATGCTCCTTTCACAGTCATCTGGACCAACATTCGGATGGAGATCTGACAGGAGGTAAGTGCGAGCAGGTTGAAGAAAGGGTTAACTGCGTTACTACATCAGGAGCATCATTTGGCAGTATTCATCATCATCATCTTTGAAGTCTTTATTATTTTCTTCTCTATAATCTACGGTCCATTCGTCCTTTCTGCCACCTCACTTCTTCCCTCCAATTTTCTTCCCTCCACCTTTCTTTCACTACTCCTGCTTCGCTCTTGCTCGTTTCTTCTTCGAGATTCTACCCCGATTGCTACTTCGAAAGTGGGGGTTCAGACAGCGGGACACCCATAGTAGGATGTGGCGGGGGGAAGAAATGGAGGAGAGGAGGCGTAGGGGGAGAGGAGGAAAGTAGGGTTAGAGGGGGGGAGAGGGATGGGGGGGGGGGGGGAG